CACTACATGTGGCAACCCTCTGTATCTGAACTCTGACTCACTCAGATGCCTTTATATCCCTAAACAGCTCCTGCAAAAACACAAATCAGATCACACACATGCAGGACTCATTCCAATCAAGAGCTCACTGGAACAAAAATCATAAAATTACATTAATTCATTAGAAAAGTTAATTCATCCAAAAACACAGCCCAGATAGCAAACTGACATTGAATCAACGTGGAAATATGACATCGAAACAACGTTGATCTGACATTGTTTTGCTCATCGAATTAAGGTTGAACCAACGTCAGACGCGTCATTCTTTCAAAACTAACGGAAAATCAACTTGAAATCAACGCGTCGTTTCAACGTTATGAAAGCCAACCAATTTTCGATTTCATTTAGCTTTGAAGAATGCCGCGTCTGACGTTGGTTCAACGTTAATTCGATGAGCAAATCAACGTTGTTTCAATGTCATGAGAGACGTCGTTTCCACGTTGATTCAATGTTAGTTTGCTGTCTGGGAGGACAGGTCATAAGTGGATCGTTGGACAAAAGCACTACACGAATGATCCGATCTCAGTGATAGAGTTCACATCAGACCCGATCTCAGTGATAGAGTTCACATCAGACCCATTTACATCTCAGATCTACAGAGAAAACAGAAAAATTAACATGATACACCAAATTAAAGAAACAATGACAACAACAATAATAATAAATCCAAAAATCTGTGTGAAAGCGGATAAAGTGAAATATACTAAAACTCTTAAAGACCAGTAAAACACTGGCAAAAGCCAGCTGCTAAAAGAGACTGTAAATTACCCATCAAACATCAAATCTCAATCTGCAAAATCTATTTGGGATGTTAATAAGAGCAGTACAAAAATTTAGTTTCATATAAATAAATAAAAATACTCACAATACAAGCATCCCAATTCTATAATCAAAGGAGGCATAATAACAAACACGTATTTCTGCTTTAGAAATGTGCTCATAAACGTCAGTTACAAAATGGTGGATGTATTAAAGCACACAACGATGGAGATAACTTCAGGAGCCATCAATAGACCAGTGAACAGAGGAACCCACGAGCAGAACCACACTTCAACTGCAGGTCAAAGTAATGCAAGCCAACGGCCAGGCAGAAACAGAGGGCTTAAATACACAGATAACAGATCAGGGAAACGAGACACAGCTGGGGTAAATTAACCCAACGACAGTAACCATAGTAACGAACTGGGAGAGAATGGAGACCTGACTAATTCACGAGGTTCAGCTGTGTTGTGTTAATGAAGACGGTGAAACTGGGATCAAGGAGTGGCACAATTTGATGAAAGCCTAAAAATGTTTCAGAAAGCCTTGTTCTTCTTCTTCTTCCTCCTCTTTCCGGTTTAATGGCAGTTGGTAAACCAAACTTTTCAGAAAGCCTTGGTTTACGATCACTACATTTAAACTAGTGATGTTACGTATGACACTGAAGCTTCGATGCGCGTATCACATATGCGACACAATTTCTAGTGAAGCCCTGTACATTTTTTAGAAGGAGACATGCTTAGTGTGTGACAAAGAGCTTGTTTATGGAAACAACACATCATCCATGCTGAGGCATTTCAGAGCTTTACATGAGACTGCACAGCTCCAGAAAGCCATGTGAAAGAGTGTTCTCTAAGGCTGGGGAATTACTGTGTAAGAGGAGAAATAGACTCAGCCCCAACACTGTGAAACAGCTTTTATTTCTAAATAAAAATAAGTAAAAACTTTATCACCTTTCTGTCATTCCTACAGTTACATAAGCACTATCACTGCCAAGTGTCATACATTTAAAAAAAAAAGATGATCCTATCAGACAATGTTATATTCATTGTGTGTGCGTGTGTGTGTGTGTGTGTGTGTGTGTGTGTGTGTGTGTGTACAGAGAGAGAGAGAGAGATAGAGTAGGCCTACATTAAATCTTATTGAATAATATAAGCTTATATTATATTTTATTGTCACACTTTAATAGGAAAATGAATTTATTAAATGAACAAATCAAACACAAACATGTAAGGTTTTTATTTGTACACATAACATTGAAACTCTGTAGTGTGTTGTGGTTGCTTCATCTGCCAGAGCTTCTGGCTGCTTTATTTTAAATAAGCACCAGATGGCGCTGTTCGACACTCTCGAAGCTTTGAATCTTTTCCCGGAACAGTCAAGGGAAAGCCTCATTGCTTCTTGAAGCTTCATTTACCCATCCCTAATTTAAACTGTACTGCATTAAAGTTTGAAAAAAAAGTTATGAAAATACAAATATACAGAAAGGGTAAAGATCTACAACACCAATTAAGTACAAGTGAAAAATAACCAACAATAAAAATAACTCTCTTACCTTTACTTCAGTTGGACCTTCCCTCTCCAAACTACATCCCAGGCTGGCAATCCTGTAGGATCTTCGTGTGGGCATTTATACTTATGGGCAAAACCACTGACAGGAAAGCAAACAACAAGGAATACAATTCAACAAACCACCAAATCTCAATATATGTTTCCTCATTGAAAAACTGTTATATTTTTAAACAAACATTGCCCTTCATCTTCTACACTTGGTTTCTCCCAGTTTCCAACATGCACCTCAGCACAGATATAAAAGCTCATTCCAGAAGCTGTTCTGGTTCTTCCACTGGTTCTAGCAAACTGTCGCATTGGCTGGTTTTCTGTTTTAATTCAATTGTGAAGTAAAAGATGTTACAAAAAGACTCTACAAAAATATACTATTGTGTTCATGTTGAAATTGAGAAAGATCCATAACTTGATTCATGTAAAAAGGGAATATTTTATCTATTTTTATCTTTTCCATTGAGTCAGGCCAATTTCTCGAGTGGCACCTGCTCATAAAATAAAGAAGGGTAAAGGGGAAAAAAGGATGGCGATGAACAAGCGAAAAAGAAAGAATTAGACAGAGCCCACTGACCCTGTGTCAAAACTCTAGCCGCGTTACATGAAGATAAAAAAAAGTCACGCACTGTGCAAAGCAACCATTGAAACCTGCTGAAAGTTGCTGAAAGTATACGGATTACTGAGTTTGGTAGGGGCTACATTCTTGCAAGTAAATAATACATGATTAGATGGACAAAATAATCTGCAGGTTGATAAGTCATGTTTGTTATTTATTTTTCTGGTGAAAGTGTCTTGCCTCAGGCTATAATGCAAATCGATATGTATACTTCTTTTTTTCTTTTTTCTTTTCATTTACACCCTGTCTGTTGATCATGTCTGTAATCTGCTCCTATTGTCCCGGGTATTTTGGTGAACCCAGGGTTAGGGGTTTAAACTGTGCAAATCACTGATAAACACAACACTATATGTTGCTTTGGAGAAAACATTTTTCTGATTTCAGTTTTGTTTTCTGCTAAGAAATACATTACTTGCCAAAATGTTAAGCTTGTCATTTCATGATTGTTTAACCAATAAAGAACCAAAGATTTAGCATATATTTTATTTGTTTCCCCCTGTTTAATGTTTATGTATAAAAGTGTACATTTAGTGATATTTTAAGATTGTTTATTAACACATACAAAAATGATAGAACACAAATAAATGATAGTGGGTTAGGGTTAGATTGTCACAATAATCCTGATAACCTCGGAAGATTGTACATATTAAGAGAAGTTCAAAGTTCAAGGAATAAAAGTCCACAGGTTTGAGTGTGTGTGTGTGTGTGTGTGTGTGTGAGAGAGAGAGAGAGAGTCTTCTCGCATTACCAGTGTGAGACTCGTGTTGTTCATCTCTGATTCACAGAAGCTTTATGAGCATCAGATTGGCTTGTTGTCCTCAGCCTAAGCCTTCGCTGGAACGATCCTTTGACTTTACTAATACCTCATGCTCAAATCAACACTTTAAACTAAAGGCATTTTTTACAAAACTGAATCTCAAGTCTTAAGAGCAACCTGTGTTTTAGCATTTAAAGCTGGTGTGTCCATGCGTGCGCTTGACTCTTCTGTTGCTCACGCTTTATCCTGGATGAGGAATCTTTGGTCTCCACAAGAATAACAACTATGGCGATATAAATAAAAGCAGCGATTAAGGGGCCAAGCACGACAGCGGGAGTTACTGTCAGTTTAATAGGACATCGCAGTATTTAATGTAACAACTGTAGAAATGACGGAGACAGGAAGGGTTCAGACTGAAATAACAATAAGACTGATTTCAATGATTTTTCCAGATTTCACAACAAGAAGAGAGTGTGGACACACAAAGCCAATCCTGCCAAAATAATGCATTTCATCACAAAGAATTATGTATGGTTGAATAGTTAAAGGCAAAAGAAATGTGAGAATTTGTTTTGTGCGATAGAGTCTAAGTGACAGAACCCAGATGTGTTCGGGACGACGCCAGAACACACACTGCAGATGCTTGGCCCCTAAAATAAAACACACATATAATAACTTACTCAACAAGAACACAACAGCTTCTGTAAAGAGCATATTGATTGAAACGGCAACACAATCTATCAGCTTCACTAAATCTTTTGTAATAAAAACAAATCTGAACAGCAAGCAAACACAAATACACCACCAGAAAACGACCTGCAGCGCCTGTGAGTCCTGCACCTTAAACACAGCTCGGGCTCTCGGTCCCTCTCTCACCAACACTCAGTGGTGCTCACTCGCCCGCTCGCTCTGACAGTCTCTAATCTGCTGTGGGCTCGCGCCGGATCAAGTCTCGTGCCGAGGAGAGACGAGTCCCCTCCGTGGAAAAGTGCAGAGAAGGAAAATACAACATGACTTGTATGTGGCTTTGGGTAAAGAATGATGGACCTAACCCTTACTGTATAACAGCAGGATATTAAAATGATTCTGTATGCGCTTTCTTGTGTGTTGGCGAGCATCTCTGTCTCTTCAATCTTCAGCTTTGTTATTTCTTCAGTCATTTTTAGGCATCTGTCTTTCTGTCCTACTTTCAAAAAAATCAATAAATATAAGTAAAGTTTCTCAAGTAGATATAACGGTAGAGATGAAAACATATCTTAACATTAAAAAGGTAAATAACGTCAAGGTTTATTATAAATATGATTGTCCTTCCAGTTGTGCTTGATTGTACAGTACGGTGACCAGTGCTTTTGAGCCCCAATTGTTCAGAGTGAATCATTGCGTAGGCAGAGCTGTGAAGTCCAGGTCCAGAAAGTAAAAGTCCTCCACAGGATTTGGTTGGATCTCCTGGATTTGCTAACGACTGCAGTTTTCAGGCAGGAGAGAGAACTAACGAGAGAAACAGCGGTGGGAATAAACATGTGGCAGGACTTTTACTTTCTGCCCCCTGGACTTTACACGCGTATGTATATTTAGAGGAATGTGTGTGTGTGTTGCACTGCCCTACTCCTGATTGAGGGAGGTATTCATCACAAGGTTACGGTGTAGATTAGGATTCTGACTGTGTCGGTTGCGGCTCCGCACAGAGGAGAACGTCGTGTCACACCCTGGAACTTTGCACTTGTGAAGGAGGCGAAGGTGCACCGTTTTGTAATGAGCCCTGAATGTGCCTTTGTTGCTGTAAACCTTCTGACAGAGATGGCACGTGATGGGAGATGAGCTGTGAGACTGCAGGCTGAGGCACGGTGGAGACGAGACGCGGAGCCCGTCGCAGCTCTCGTCACTGTCCTCTAGAGGGAGCCCTTCTTCACTGCCCACGTCTGAGTCCCAGGACGAGTGTGCGCTTCCTCTGGTGCTCAGGTCCAGCACAGCGTCGTTCTCCACAGCACCCTCTGCTGGCTCAGTGGCTCTCTCCAGGGATTTGCTCATGGGGAAGACGAGGCCTGTGCGGTGGCTGGCTTTGAGGATCACAGACATCTGACTGACTGACATCTGCTCTTTGTGAGGGAGATCGGGATGCTCTCTGCGGAGAGAAGATGTTCCTGAATAATCTTTGGTCAACAGCCTGTGGTGCAGATTCAGGTTTGCACTGTGTCTAGAGAATTAAAAGCAAAAACATTTGAAGAAAAAAACCAACATGCTTTTGTTTCTAAGTTTTTTCATGTATAAAAGCAATCAATCATCGCTGTCAGCAGGCCCTAACCCTGGCCTCACGGTAAATAACGGACCATTGCTAAATGATTGCGATGTTCTAATCAGCTCCAGATTTCCAGATCAAGCATTTCGACTGCTTGGTATCAAAAATCGACTTGTTATTTGGAAACTAGAACGCAGTACTAGAACCTGACTATGGTCTTCATAAACCTCCATGAACAGAAATCCTGAACTGTTCAAACACAAGAAGACGCGAAAGAAACCCATTCGGTGTGTGCACGCTGTTTTACGCACAGAAAGATGCGTCTCACACAGTTCTCTTTTGTCAAGCTCGAACGGACGAACAGACACAGTTTTGGCGAGTATGCTCGTAAATGAGGTCTTAACTGCGTTAAAATAAAGTCTTAATGAACGTAAACGGTTATGAGAAAGTCTGATGTTCGCCAGATCCGTTCATTTGGTGTTAAAGTGACAGTAGAGAAATATACCTGCTTCCGTCTTGAGTTATTCATGTTCAAGAACAAAAGACAAATATAAATACTCAGATCTGCTCTTCTTTACCTTTTATAGGATTTATATATATATTTATATTTAATTTATACATTAAAGTATTTCGTATCTGAATACTATTAATTTGTGTCTTTGTTCTATTGTATTTATTTGTGCTATTGCTTGTAATTTGCTCATTCATTTATATGTTTCACTGGCTATTTACTGGTCTATACGTAACATTATTTATTCATATACTTTTCTTGAAAATTCTGGCAGGGCAAATAACCAGTTAACTCCTAAGTGTCGAGCCCTGTGTGCGTCCCTTTTAAGACCTGCCCCTTTTGTTATAAAATAAAGTTGCTACGGGGAGAAATAAAATAATGTATGAACGCTGGAGCCAGAGACTGTCCTGTGATTCTGAATAACTGCCTGGTGTAATGGACTGTATTACACACACATTCATTTCCGTCTTACCGGTCTCTGCTGCGGCGGGACGGGAACGCAGCGTTGCAGCCGTCCACAGTGCACATGTGCATCTCCTTCAAGTGCACGTTTCGGTAATGCATTTTGACACTGTAGGGGTTTTTAAATGTCTTACTGCAGATCTCGCAGGGGTGCGACTGCTCTTCTTTATCATCTGGACTGGTGTTCTCCGGGTCACTGCCGCCGCCGTCTGCACAGCGCTCACTACCGTGTGTGAAACGGGCCGGTCGGTGGCTGCAAGGCTGGTCTGGCCCTGAACTGCACGTCGGTTCTTCACATTTTGAGGACTCCTTTTCTTTCTCGTCGTTCTGTTTAGTGTGAAAGAGAGAAGGAGAAGACGGGGAGATGATGCAACTCTCCTCCTGAGTCAGTTTGTCCCATTCTGCGTCCAGTGAGTTGGCGGTGGACCGGGGAAGACCATCGCGGTCCACAAGGCCACGCCCCTCGCTGCTGATGTCACACTTGTGTGTGTGCGCGCAGGGGCTGAGGGGCGGAGTCTCCTCCTCGGACACGCCCTCCTCTGCCAGATCGTCCTTCTCGATTTTGATGGGCATGCTGGACTTCCGAGACTTCTTCTTGGGCGCCGGCTCCGTGTCGCTGTGGATGTGGATGTGGCCGGTGCTGACGGGAACCGAGGAGGACAGGAGCGGGAGCGAGGGCAAGTTGCCTGGCGTGTGGGCCAGCTCGGCTGGGGTCACCAGGCTCCGGTAAAAGGGGAGCACGGGCTGCACAGTCTTTAGATTGGGGAAGAGGATTCCGCTTTGGCTCATGCTGGAGAGAGAGCCGTGCAGTTTGGGCTCAGAGTTGCGGATGATGAAGCTTGAGGCGGTCCTGCTCTCCGGCATGGAGGCGAACTCTCTCTTCTCGCCCTCCGGCTCGTCCTCCTGGCTCGGGCTCAGGCCCCCCCGCAGGTCCTTGTCGCGATTATTGCGGTTCATTGGCATGTGCAGCCGCGGGTTCGGATTAGCACTGTGCCTGTTGCGACTGCGTAAAGAGCTGAACACCATGTTGCAGCCCTCAATGGTGCACTTGTGCTTGATCTTCAGATGAACGGCGTTGTAGTGTATCTTCAGCGTGCCCTTGTCGTAGAAGGTCTTCTCACAGGCACTGCAGAACACACGGCCCTTCTTCAAGGATCCGCTCTTCTCCGCACACCGCATCTTGCTCTCTGGTGACATGTGTGTGTTTTCCGAAGTGATGGAGGATGTGCACGGCGTGGAGGGAGAGGAGTTTCCACTCACGTTAAACTCTTCCGTCTCCATCTTTGGAGATTGTGTGTGCAGCAGCAGCTCTGCTCTCACGGGGCCGGTGTCGAAGCCAGCACTGCCGTCAAGGCTCAGTTCTGACGCCTCACGTCTCGTTTGCGCCTCCTGGTGGCTGCAGGCTGTCCCGGAGCTCAGCAACGGGGCCGGAACCGAGTTCAGCAGCTGCAATGGCAGCATGAGGGCCATGCTGTTCACTAGAGTCTCAAAATGGTGTCCGTTACTACACCCGGGTGCTTCTGCTTTAGCGGGCGTCCGCACAGAGCGCTGTGTGCTGCTTTCGATGAAGCTGCGGATGTCAGAATTGGTCCTAGTGGTCGGAACAACAACAGCCTGCCCCTCCTTGTCCTGTAGAGCCATGAGCTCCACGATGGACTTGGTCTCTCCAAAGCGCAGGAATTGCTGCAGCGTCACAATCTCCTCTTCAAAGGTCATTATGGCCCAGCGGTCCAAAACCTTGCCGGCCACATCCTAGACACATACACAGAAGGAATATAATTTGCATTATGAAGTCTACACTAATAAATGTCCCGCACTGCGACCCTAAAATACTCCATAACTTCTGACAGATTGACAGAGTCACTAAATAACAAGTCATGCATACATCTAATGCATGTGGACTTGAGAGGTCTAATTACTGCAGCAGGGTGATACATTCAGGAGCATAATTTTTCTTCATTTAGATGATGCGGGTTTCCCTGTCGAAGTATGGGGGGGGGGAGATCAGAGGCGAGTCGGGCAAGTCTTTCAGTGCGCCTGTAATTACTCTTGAGTGCCAGCAGGCTTTGAAAGTCATGTAGCAGCTTCATGTTGTAACCAGAATAAATATTTTATCATACAGCATTCATCTGGAGGTCTGAAGAGGCTTTAACTTTACATTCTCCACTAGAGGAACTAGCATGAATTTAATTCAAGCACCTGAATACTTGATAAGCCAAAAGATTGAAGATATCTCAGCAGCTCACCACTGGAATTTTGAGGAAACGTGTGACAAAACTGTAATTATACATCTCAAATCGACGGATGTTTTCAAGCGGGATCAGTGTGAGTCGAGTGATCGGAACAGCTCACCTGCAGCACGTAGCCACGGATGTAGTCCTGGAGAGTCCAGTCTAGGGCGTTTAGGATCTGAATGACCTCCTCCTGCTTAAGGACGCTGAAGAGTCGGTCCAGCAGGATCTTGAGACGCACTGGAATTGCTTGCGTCCCATAAAGCATCAGACTACAGATATCAAACACCACATTGGAGTGAACAATCTCCACCTGGCTTCCTTGGTACATGTGATGAACCTTCAGCTTACTCAGAGCTGCAATTCAGCAAAACAGACAGCAGTTTACATCACGCATGCAGAAATCACAACGCATCTCACAAAGCATTTCTATCGTTCACGTCTGAATCTGTTTTCTTTTGCAAGTGAGGCTTTAAGTGAGCATTTGTACAAATTTTTATGTTGCAAACATTTTGCCTATGTATTGTAAAAAAAGTGTGTTTGTATATATTTGCTTATGTGCATGGCTGAGAAATTACAGACAATATTGTAAATAATTATCATCTACAAACAATAACAATTACAACAACAACAACAAAATATCCAATGATTCTAAACTGGCCATCAATTTATCAATTTATGCCACATAGCTTTGATGTCAGAAAGTCAATATTACGACGTAGAGTAATTTATAATGAACAGATTTATTCATTTATTTCTGCCTTGTCAAATATGTTTATTAAAGGAATATTTAAGGTTGAGCAAGTTAAGCTTAAACATCAGCATTTCTAACAATTTATTCTTTGAGGATTTAAAATTAGAAATGTGAAGCATATAATTTGATAAACTCACTTTGGTTAAAATGTTGGTATTATTTGAGCTGGACAGTTGTTACATTCATTTCTAAAATAATGTTATGGTCTTTTTATGTATCACATTTTTAAAAATTGCATTTATAAAATTGGATATAGCTTTATAAAGAAAATATTAGTAAGCATTTGTTCTTCACTAAAAATCATCATCACATTGTTTACATTTTGTCACTACACTTCTAAAACAGTATTTTAGGATTTACGCTCATTTCTTTTTTTAAGTGGCTAACTGTTACAGAAAAATAAAATACATTTTTTTAAAAAAGGGAAAGACATGTTGAAATTATTTTTAAGGCAGTAAACATTTTTAGTTGATTAAGCTTAATTTGTGTTAAACACTGAATATTCTTTTAAAAAGTACTGTGAAAAGTACAAGAGGCAGAAAGACAAAGAGAGTTGACGGGAAGAGTGTTTAAACCTGGTTTGAAAAACATCTGTGTGAAATGTAATATTGTCTGTGAAACTCACCATGGGCGACCCAGCCGTGCCGACAGTCTTCGCAGAGTCGCCGCCTCAGTTTCCCAGGCTTGAAACTGTCACAGTTGCAGTTCACCAGCGTGCAGCAAATAGCCTGTCCACACACACAATAATCATGAATATATTCAACATATTTATTGATCACAAACGCCCATTATGTCCACTCCAAAATGTTCGGTTTCATACTTGAACTTTTTAAATGTACACCTAGATCTGAAAATGTGTGTGTGTGTGTGTGTGCATCTTTCGACATATGCGTGTATCTCTATCAAGCTCAAGAAGCTCTTTGGATTATTCTCATGCTGGAGAACACGATCGCTAGGTTTGGGTCACGGTCTCTCCAATGATGCCGTCATTAAACCAAGAGAGAGACACATGTTATTGATACATTATAAAATTCAGTTTTGAATTAAACGTTTCACTGTTTTGCTGGTGCTTTAATGATAATTTTGTATTAAATAAAGAATTATAAATGATATTAAGTACTCCTCTGAGCACAAACACATGCTGTGAGGTTCATTCCGATGCGATTTCATATTAATTATAGACACTTCAGCACAAATCGACAGCTCAATATAGAGATAATACAGGCCAACAGCCTCGATAATCACATCACAGTTATTTATCCTCGAGCCTCAACTATAAAAAACACACCAGCACTTACACACACAAAGAAAGAGAGAGCGATATTTGAAAATGCACATTGATATGAACATCACAAAAGTCAATGGAAAGCACAAAAAATACTTGGTGCATTATGTTCAGCCAAGGAAACATTTTGAGTTTAATTTCTGAATGAATTTTAAATGTTAATTAGGCTAGTGTATGCGGTTCCTAACGGTTCAATAATCCAGCTTTTTGGCTGACAGTTTGACTACATTGTAAAATAGGCTACATCAATAATACAGCATATTATTTAGAATATTAAAAATAAAAAAAATTATTACATTTCTTAAAAATAATGCGACTGTTAAATGCATTAATATACTCAGAATTTATTGCTTTTGAATAGATTTTTTACAATGTAAAATGTGTAAACTTCAACCCAACGGTCACAATTAAAATATCGACTGATATGCTTTAATCCAGAATATCACTTGATATTAGACAAATATGATTTTGACAAACTGTCCAAGTTAGTAGTTCTCCTAGGACCACAAAAGTGTAGAACCTGTGTGTGTGTGTGTGTGTGTGGAAATAAGCGGAGGAAAGAGTCCCTGTCAGATCTCACAACACAGGCCTGTAGCAGCGAACAACAATGACAGATCAACATGAGCTTAATGAACACACACACTCGCAGAGACAAAGCTTTCACGCCCCAAGGCCATTAACTGTGTTTGCCCGCCCAGAAACGGGGTCTCAGTCCCACTTTGGGACATTAACTCGTCAGCATGAGCACAAAGACAGAGAGAGAGCCGGGAGAGGATCTCTGAAAGCTGCCAGAAAGTGGAAGAATTTGACTCCTGTTGTTCCCTTAACAAAAATCTTTTGGTATGTCTCTATAATTATTGTGTTTTACATTGGTGTTCAGATTAAACAAGCATTCCACACACACACAATCATGTTTCCAGCATCATGGCTGTGCCAGCGAAATTACTCTTGTCTTGAATTACATTCCAGTGGATGACCAACAAACACTCACACACTTGAGAAGACATTCACACCCATCTGAACAGCACAATAAAGTTTCTCCTGAAAGATCTAGCTAGCAAATGGGGAAAAACTCTGTAAAAATGGATTCATTTCTGAATGCTAATTTATGTCTCGTACACCAATAAATGACCAACACAGACAAAAGTTACCGATTCGCTCAAAGCACCACACAGGGAAAAAGCCTATTTTTCCTCAATGTAACATCATCTACATATAACTCAACATCCACTTGTGTTCTTATCTAAATTCTCAAAGACAGACTTGATCCCAAACTAAACTTCTTACCTCAGACATTTCGATCAGACTGAAGTTTCCAGTGTTTCTGAGCAGTTTGCCATTCCAGCTCCTGTCTGTACAAGTTCTACTGCGAGAGATCCATCACTCACAGTTCAGGCACACTCACCCACACAACACACACTCTCTCCTGCAATGGAGAAACGCGGCGCTCGTCCACAGGCCCGTGTGAGTGTGTGAGCGGCTCTAAAGCGTCCAGGATGAGTGTGTGAGTGTGTGAGTGTGTGCTGGAACTGGGCGCTGGGGAGTGGAATGAGACCCTCCTACCCGCTGTACTCTCTGCCTCTCACCTTAAGAGATCTCTCTCTCTCTCACACACACACACACACACCTCCCCCACTGGGTGGCGGGCCAGTCCCCTCACAGCTGGCTGGAAGAGGGCATGACACGCGTCTCTCACAGAGATTTGATCAAAAGGAATCACAAAGGCTGGAGGCTCCTAATGCAGTCAGGAGAGACTCTCTACCTCGGCTCTCTCTCTCTCCAGCAGTTTGAGTAATGCATTAAATCAATGCAGCCCGGCACAAGACACACTCAAGCACTGGATACTGGATGTGTGTGTGTGTGCGCTTTAACAGCCTCTGATCAATCCCAGCAAGTTATGCCTTTTGCTGGCCAGAATTGTATGTTTCAACAGATTTTTCTTTGCAGCCATTCAGTTGTCATACGTGTTCTTCAAATACAGAAAAAACACAAACTTTTCAATTAACAAACTACCTGAAAATTGTATGTTCTCTACAAAATCGTTCCTACACATGGTTAGAAGGACATTAAAACGTTTCGTTAAATACACATTTCTGGTAATCACAACATATGACAATCAGTCCATGAAGTTTATATCTATCGAGCTGATATTACATTCGGTGCAGTCACTTGACATTTTAATACACCAATTACACAGCAGGTAAAAACATGCTGCGTTTAATCCATTACAGAGCAGGTTTTAACAGGTTTTTGCTTCTTTAACGCTCAGAGACAGAGAACTGAGTGGGCATCTCCTCTCCTTAACTAAAAATTTACAACAAGCAAAATGGCAGGGACTATTACTCTGTAGCTAATATAGCCTGAAATATTCAGTTAAATCTGTATTACTTACAAGAGATCAAAGCTTTATTTGTAAGAGTCAAATTTTATGAAGTCACACATGGGAAGCCCTCAGTCGTGCAGCGAGACCCAGAGGACGCTTATCAAATCAACATGCAGAAATTGGCTGGATTGCAGCGCTGCTGTTTGTAAGATAGCTTTTTTAAAGACAGAATTGGTTTTGCTGATCTTCTCCCTCAGGCTGCGGTCTGGAGTCGAGAGCGACGCGGCTCATACTGGCAGATTCCCTGCTAACACTGACTCCATTTCACATGCAAACACAAATCGCCCCATCTACAACATACAAGAAGGTTTTTTACACTGCAACAGTAAAAATGTCATTGAATTAAAGCTTGGTGTTGGTCTTGTGCTGTATGTCAACAACAGTCTCTGTGAATTTCCAAAGAGCCAAGCTTGATGTGATTGTAAATATATCAAGTATTTTATTGACCCCAAGAAAAAATTGGGGTACTGTTAGAGCAAATGGGCTGTTTCGCTAAAGATATTTGCCCCAATCAACTTAAATAACATTCATTCGTTTATAATTAACCTGTACTTATGAGAAACACTCTGATTTAACTATTGACTACAATTTCTGAAAGAATAAAAAGATTTTGTTTTAGGTTTAAAGTTGTTTTTTGTTTTGTTTTTTGTTCTTGTTTAGTTTTGCACAGTTACAATTTAGATTACAGCTCAAATGAACAGTGATTATATTTAAATATTAAAGGGATTGTTCACCAAAAAATTATTCTGTCTTTTCTTACATTAAATTGCATCAAATTCAACCAAGAAAAAAGAAGAAGAAAGAAAGGTTTGGAACGACACCAGGGAGAGTAAATTATGACAGAAAACTGTCCCTATAACCTGCATAAACGTAACTCTCCAACTCCTCTACTGTACTGAGCACTGACAGTGTGCGTGTGTGTGTGTGTGTGTGTGTACTGTATATAACTAATTCAAAGAATAAAAAAAATCTGCTGCATAATTGTCATGATACGGTCAGAGCATTTCCCTGATTATTGACTTGACTTAAAATACCATTTCAGAGATACTGTTGTGCAGTAAAACCTGACACATCTCTGCAACTCCAAACTCAATAAAGCATGTTAAATAAGCTTTCCCTCACACCACTGAAAGGATGAAAAGACTCATAGTGCTTTAATGAGGATCATTTTAATCCAAAAAGGTACGAGTAAAAGCTTTGTGCCTGCAGAGAGTACTTCAAAAACACAGAGAGCAGCGAAGAGCAGCTTCTATCTCATAGTGGCTCTAAAAATATTGCCTTTGAACAAGCTGGAGGCCATGAGAAGTCCTCGTGTTCAGATCCACACACATGAGAAGTCCTCGTGTTCAGATCCACACACATGAGAAGTCCTCGTGTTCAGATCCACACACATGAGAAGTCCTCGTGTTCAGATCCACACACATGAGAAGTCCTCGTGTTCAGATCCACACACATGAGAAGACCTCGTGTTCAGATCCACACACATGAGAAGTCTCGTGTCCAGATCCACACACATGAGAAGACCTCGTGTTCAGATCCACACACATGAGAAGTCCCCGTGTTCAGATCCACACACATGAGAAGTCCCGTGTTCAGATCCACACACATGAGAAGTCCCGTGTTCAGATCCACACACATGAGAAGTCCTCGTGTTCAGATCCACACACATGAGAAGTCCTCGTGTTCAGATCCACACACATGAGAAGTCCTCGTGTTCAGATCCACACACATGAGAAGTCCTCGTGTTCAGATCCACACACATGAGAAGTCCTCGTGTTCAGATCCACACACATGAGAAGTCCTCGTGTTCAGATCCACACACATGAGAAGACCTCGTGTTCAGATCCACACACATGAGAAGTCCTCGTGTTCAGATCCACACACATGAGAAGTCCTCGTGTTCAGATCCACACACATGAGAAGTCCTCGTGTTCAGATCCACACACATGAGAAGTCCTCGTGTTCAGATCCACACACATGAGAAGACTCGTGTTCAGATCCACACACATGAGAAGTCCTCGTGTTCAGATCCACACACATGAGAAGTCCTCGTGTTCAGA